AAAAAAAGAAGAAGAAGAAGTGAAGAACAAACTACAAAAACTAAAGTTCAATTAATATCATACACATGTTGATATTTATTAATGTATAATTCATGCCGATCGTTCAAAATGAAACTTATATTTATAAATAAATGAAGAAAAAGAAAACCGCGAGAGGGAGAGAGAAAGAATAATTCAAGGCTCATATCACAATTAAACGAAGAAGAAGAAAAAAATGATCAATGAACCAAAAATAAGGAGAAGAGACGTATACATATATTAAATGAATTGAATCGCTCTATCAATGTAGATAATGAGTTTGTCACGAAATAAAGAAGAACATATGTTATCTTGTTAGGAACTATCGTCTATGAACATCTATAATATTTTAATACAAAATTTTCTTCTTATTTTCATGATCTAAATTCTGTCTAATGAGAGGTTCAACTTATTAAAATCACTGAATATATATATACCAACTTTGAGATTATGTTTTGTCTACGCCTTCTTTTGTCACGCATACTATATTAATTAATGAGAAATTCTATTTCGTCTTACGTACAGTATAAGGATGCTTGCTGTTGACGATAGATGTATGATAATGTTCTTCCATATTAAATAGTCTGAAGAATATGTGTATGCTTAAATACAATGTTACTACTTTATTTGATTAAAGATTTGGGTAGATGCTTGATCAGAGGAGTAGTAGTAGTAAAGAATGAGAAGAGAAAAGTAATATATAATAAAGTTGAACCGAAGAAGAAGAAACAGATCACATACACACTTTACAAATTTTATGAATGACCAACTGACCCCAAAAAGAAAGAAGACAAGAAATATAAGTATTGTTCATGAGTAGAATAAAAGAAAGAAAAAAAAGGGGTTGCATAATAAATAAAACATTCTTGTAATATCTACCAGCACTAGTATAGACATACGCTTTGTCAAATAATGATACTTGAATAAAGCTTGTTCCCCTCGTTTTATTCTTTACATATGTGAATATATATCACGAAATCTTTATATTTTCAAACAGTAATTAATACATCTATTTACACTCAGTATAACAATGAAGAGATCTTTGTATAAATACAGACGAATAAAAATCTTATATTCAATGAATGAAGGACAAATAAAAATATTTAGTACTACGAAATGAACATCTACTTACATGTGTACCAGGAAACAATAGACTCTCTAGCAGGTGATATCGATTGATCACCGTTATACATAAAACAAAGAATCATATTCGATTGGCTATTATGAAGACAGAGACATAAATATACAGTTCAATGATCAAACAGATATTGTCATTATATAGATACTGATTGGGTATGCCATCTATGATAAACAATTGGCTTGTTTAAACTTAATATATATAATTTAATATTATAATTTGACTATTTTTTTAACTTTTTTATTCATTTATTAATCTTTCTCTTATGTTTTTGCTGTATAGTTTAATTATAAAATCGAATTAAGTGAAACAAAATATTTTCGTTTTTATATTACCTATTGATGATTATTATTTATATAGCTGCAATCATACTTTTTACGTTAATATAATGTTGGTCATTATTATCTAATATTGACATTTTTTTGATGCACTGATAAATGACATCAGAAAGTCTAAAATAAAATTTAAAGATAGAGTATATCTATTTCTCAAGTAGGTTATATCATAGTTTACATACATTTCTACCTATAAAAAAAAAGAAGAATCGATCATGTTATTAAAATCACATCCGACGTGGTGTAACTGTTACTTTGAAGGATGATGATTATCATTTTCATGTTTTCTCGATTCATTTCAGCTGTCACATTACCTTATCTATCGAAGGCATTGAGCAAAAATTACTTTTCTCTTTTTTTGTACACTACATATATTCATTCGCTTTTTTATATGATTTACCTTCATATAATAATATAATGCTTTTATTATATTTATAAACGTAACTTTTGTGTAATTGATATCATCCCTTGAACTGTAATTTGAGTAATGGACTCAAGCTATCCTGTTCTGTCCTTCGTTCATAATGCAGTTTCTTGCTCAATAATTTAACCTTCCATAAGCATGTTTATGAATCTTAGAAGTTTTAATTATCGCCAATTATCAATGTCCTTTTATACATATACATATATCATATATATATATATATATACACGTTCAGCACGAATAGTCTTGCTTATTAATTAAATGTTTATCAGAAATAAATCATCGGTGTGTCTTCAAAAAGTTTGTTTATATAAGACTTGTATGTTTATGTAACCATATCTGTCTCTATCAATTATATATTTTTTTTAGATTATTGATAAGTTGTTTTTGATTGAGAAAATTAGATATAAAATAGTTAGTTTCAATCAAACTCAAGTTTATATCATTAGGAAAACATATATGTACGTTTATATATTGGCACTTTTTTTGTTGACTGTTGAACTACTATACGAAATTAATAAACAATTATAGTCATTACATTTGATATTTTTCATGACTTTGTTTTTTTCTCTTTCGTTTCTGTCTTGCGAAGCGTGACTTTTAGCCTCGCTTTTTTTCTGCTCGTCAATGATGATCCAAGTTGAATGCATGAGAAATTAGTTCTTATTTCTACAGTCAAAGTATGATAAATAACAATATAATGATGGTTTTTTCTTCACCTGGAGAGAGAGAGAATCTTAGTTTAGTTCTTGCACATGTGTGTGCATTAAAGTGTAACCGAATACATTGAAAATGAAAAAAAAGAAACGAAAAAAACCACAATACATATATATATATATATATCCAAAGGAGATAATATTTTTCATCAATCAGGTGATCTTTTTTTATTGTTCTAGCTTAAATCTGTCTCTAACGATAACGTCAAGGCAGATAATAATAAACGTCTTTAGAATAATTTGGACAAATTATTATAAATAACATTATTCAGTATGGGTCTTGGAACATCGAGAAATAATAATGATGGTGGATTGTTTTATTTCATTATTTAACTAATTCATAAATTTTGTTTTTTTCTAGGACCAGTATTTGAAGTTCATGGTCGTCTTTATCGTATTTTAGATACTATTGGTCAAGGTAGTGAAGCCACCGTATATAAATGTGAAGATCAAAGTGCTATGCAATATGCTGTTAAAGTTTTCTATTTTTCACGTTATCCTCCACACGATTTAAAGAGACGTATTGGAAATTTTAATAAAGAAGGACGTATGTTAAGATATATGTCTGGACGTTCACGTCATTTTATTTCTTTAATCGATTTTGAATATAAACCTCAAGAAAATGTTGGTTATATGATTATGGAATTAGGAGATGGTAGTTTAAGAGAACAGCTAGTGGGAGTACCATTACCTGATCAATTACGAAGAATGTATTGGAAACAGATTGTTACTATCTTACGAGATCTTCAAAATGCACGTGTTGGTAAATAAATATACCAACAATATGTTGATATTTTATAAATAATTATCTATTTCTTTCTTATTCGCAGTTCATGCTGATATCAAACCGGATAATTTAATTCTAGTGAATGGTATACTTAAAGTAACCGATTTAGGCTTAGCCCTTCCGTTGGGTTCAGCAAGAAATACGATTCGACGGGCAGCAGTGCGTGGCACTCTTGGTATGTATTCATTTGTTATAAATATGAAAACAAAACTCTTTCGTTGTAGATTATATGGCGCCTGAAGTATTTTCTCATCAAACTGGTTTTAAATCGGATGTATGGTCAGCCGGTATTATACTTTATGAAATGACTTACGGTCGTCCGCCCTTCTTTGCTATTATGGATCGAGATCAAAAAATAGCTGCTATTTCATCAATGGCACCAATATCATTTCCACCAGTGAGAGATCGACCTTTATTAGATTGTCTGAGACGATGTCTTATAAATAATTCAAATCAAAGACCCACTGCATATCAATTACTATCACATCCATATACAAGAAGCCGGTTGTAATAACAGTCAAGTTTTTTTTATTTACATTTAATACATCGTTTTTATACATTTGTTTTTGTCTTCTTAATCAAAAGAAGATCTCTTTTATAAGAAATATTGAAACCTAAAGTTGTTTCTTATTATATACTTTGATATTTCCTCTGATGATTACGTATACATCTATAGATGTCGCTGATGATCAGTAATTTTATTATGTTTATTTTTTCTTTTTTTAGAAAGTATTATTTCCTATTTATTGTGCAGGAAATAATTCTTTATTCATGTATATATGAAAATATAAAACAAGTTTTAACTTGTTTTTCTTGCATTCAGATTCGTCATTTGACGTGCAAACAAATAATATTGATTGCACTTTTATTGTATTTTGACTTTTTTTCTCTATTCTATTCTTGACGCTATGCGAAAAGAGATAGGGTAGGATAAATTTTATTTTGCATTGTTCGTACAATCATATTGTAAGATATAATACGTCATGCTGACGTCTTCTTCTTTATTTATCATGATTCATCTACTCTACGTATTTACGAGTGTAATAATGTCATGAAAACATATATGTAACTACTACATGAACCTTCTAGAATTATATTTGTTTAATAAAGAGGTTGCATCAGATAAATTGAAAATAATATAAAAGAAAATAATATCTCATATTTAAATTCTATTTTGAAAATCGATACTTCTCTCAAATAAGACAAGTCTTTAGTTTGTAAAGCGGGAAAAACCAAGAATAGTTGCATCATTCTTGATATTTTGTTTTCATGTATATTCTAATCTATAAAAAAAAGTGATCACATGCTTCGATTTTATCTCTATAAATATATGCGTATTGTTCATTTTTTAGATTTTTTAATCGATATATTTAGCAAATAATGTCGCAAACAAGTTCATTTCCTTTCTTTGGCAATACTAATCAATTTCAATCTAATAATAAATCAAATAAATTCAATTTAAAAACAATTCTTGATTTTTCAACTCTGTAAATATTTGATTTATTTAGTTTTTCTTTATTTTGTTTTTCTATATTCTCTTTAGACAACCAAGAGTTCAAAATCATTTGAAAAATGTTTATACTTGTTTATTAGGTGCCACTTTATGTGCTACATTGGGTATTTGTTTATCTATGAATGGTTGGCTCAATTATCCACGTTTAGCTGTATTTGCATCAATAATAACAAGTGTTTGGCTTTTTACACTTGATTTTAACGCACGTACACAAATGCAATGTTTTGGATTGATGTCTGCAACAGCTCTATTTACTGGTATTTATTTAAGTCCATTAATTAATGTAGCAATTAATGTGGATCCACAAATCGTTATGACAGCATTTTTAATGACAACAATTATATTTGTATGTTTCACATTAAGTGCATTATTGACTAAAAAACGAACTTATTTATATCTTGGAGGTAAAAATGATTATGAATATATATATTTTCGTATATAAATGTTTGAAAATATTTAGGCTTACTTGCAACAGGTTCATCTATTATGCTTTTATTAAGTTTAATGAATTTATTTGGACGTTCACAACTTATTTTTAATGTAAGTTTATAATACTGACGTCGTAGATAAGAATTGTCTCTAGTTTCGAATGAATAACTTTAAAAAAATGTGTGTCAACCGTCTTCCTACTAATAGATTTTTGTTATTTAAAAAGCATATACATTGAATTATATTTTTGAGACTATGTCTGTCACGGCCAATGGTGGATCCTTGTTATGATGTTTGCTACGATCCGTGACAAAGCATATTTAACACGAAAACTATATTCTTCCTACTCTGTTAACTAATATTCTCTTTCTCGTAGAGAAGAGTCCAGCAGAAATAAATTGTTTGTTTGTCTGTCCGCAGGGTCAAAAAAACAGCGAAAATCAATTTTTTGGAAAAGATATTTCTAGAGGTATTTCGATACGGAGAGTTCGAATCTGAAGTCTGTTGGGTGACCATGATGAGGGGCAAAGGTCAAAGAAATATCGAAAATCAATTTTTCGCGATTTTCATTTGTTTTTCCAGGAAATGTGAAGAAAATGCATTTCTACGAGAAAGAGCTAAGCGAGTCCTCGGACAAGCGTTACTTGTATATATCACAGCATAGGTCGAATATTCAATTCTGATATTTGTTTTTTTATAATTTAGATTAATCTTTATTTTGGTTTGGCAATTGCTTGTGGATATGTCTTATATGATACTCAATTAATTATTGAACGAGCTAATAATGGAGATATGCATTATGTCAAGTAAGTTTATTTGTAAAAATTAAAAAAAAATTTAAATAAAATATATTTTTAGACATGCACTTCTTTTATTTACTGATCTTGTTGATATATTTGTTCGAATTCTTATTATTTTAATTAAAAATGTATGTAGATTTTTTTTTGATCTTTATTTATAGTATTCTCATCGTTTGATTTCTATTTTAGTCAACAAATAAAGAAAAGAAGAATAAGAATCGTTAAAAAAAAATCAATTTGTACGGAATATCATCGATCAGAATATAAAAAGAGATATGATTTTGATGTTGTATTTTGCTTTTTTTGTAAATTGAATCCTCTTTTTTTGTCTCTTCTGCTTTATATTAATCACATATATGAATATGCTTTAACGAGAATTTTTCTTTACAATTATATGTATCGTTGATATTTAAACTCGAGAAATAAAAATTAAACAAAAATTAGATTTACTTATTTTGAGAAGATTTGATTATATATTCGTTTGTCTAAAGTTTTGTGATCTGCTTGATTAGAATAAATGTCACTTTCATGAAAATCTTCAAATATTAATTTTCATTTTTATTAAGACTGGAAAGAATAGTAGATATTGAATGATGATTACATTTGTCATGCTATTGTTGTTGTATGTGATTGATGTAAAAAACAAGAAAGAAAAGCATATTTTTCTCGTATTAAAACGATGATTTACATATAAACATTGTATTTCAATGCTTTTTTTATTCAACCTTGATGCTATGAAGTGCTTGTCTAACACATTCATTCAAAAACGAATTTACCTACGTATGTATTAAAATACAATAGTATTAGCAGAACAAAAAAGTAATTCTTATTACATGACTACTATTCTTTCTAACCATTATACAAAGAAAAAATTAATCTCATCAAATCTTTTTTTGAACATTTTAATGAGTGCGGTAATATCTTAGTATTAATACAAATAGAATAGAATGGCAGCGTTGTAAATGATTTTAGAACTTTTGTGTTGATGTTTAGTCGAAATATAAAACCTAATGAGATTTATAGATATTTCCACTGGACTACTGACTAGTTTTGCTAGATATATCATCGATCGGAAGAGATGCATTTAAAAAAACGTCATTATATACGCTCTCATAGAAATAGAAATATTTCTACCGTCACAAACAACACTTTCGTTATATATTGAATTGTAAAAACATTTCGATTTTGTAACATAACATGCTGTTATTTATAGAAAGATACATTCATAATGGCAAAATATTTCGCTTTCTTTTACAAGTAATAGGATTTTTATGTGGACACAAATTGAAACTGATATTGTGTGATTTCTTTTTTTTCCATACGTGTTTTGTGTAGGCAATGTATTGACGTAGTTGACAAATAATGAAAAATCCGTCTTTCATACGCATGTAGAGTATACATTTGAGGGTGTGAAAAAAATTCTTCATCTAAAAATAAGTTTGAAAGTGGTAACTTTCACGGACTTGTTTTGTTTCATAAAAACATCAATTTGTCTACTGACGTCAATACATTTTACTCGTAAACATGGCCTTTTTCTTTCATTTTTTATTTTTATTTTGTAGTAAATTAGTCATAGATCGGAAGAGGTGTTTAGTTCGTTAGTCTTTTACATATCTTACTAGTTCGTACTCTTAGTATAATAACTCTATATCACTTAAAATAATTTTTTTAACAGATGCCATTCTTCACATACCTATTTTTAACTAAATATTCCATATTTAAATAGTACAAAGATAAGATTGATTTCAAGGAAAAATGAATACATAGTTGCATATTTAGTCGAGATTATTGAGTAAAAAATCATAAAATTTAGTTCTGTGTTCATTAATATGTGTGTCTAGCTACTCTGCACGACTTCAGATCCATTCGATTGTGTAATACATATAGTAATTTATAATCGAAACTATCTTTTTTTTATGGCAATGTTTAATAGGACAAAACAAAAATGCTTTTTTTTTCTCTTTTTCATCTAAATACAGAGTCAAATCATCATTTATTTATAACACCTTAGGTAACAACTAGGTCCATTGACATTTACTTATTGAGAGCGATAAAACATACGTTAATATTTGAATTTTTCTAAGGAGCATTTATCGTGGACAAATGATTGATCGTTTAATATTATACTAATAAATTAGAAGTGAATAGAATAGTTATTCTTGTCTTTGTAAAGGTAATTGATGTCGATCTTCTATTTATAATAGATAAGAAAAAAGGTTTAAAGTTTTATATTTCTCGATTATGAATGTTAACCATAGAAGAAAATAATTTTTAATACTTCGTCCTTAATAAAAATCATTACTTCATATTATATATAAGTGTATACAGTACATATTTGTTTTTAGAATAAGAAAGTAAACGTAATATATATATATATATTTTTTTTTCTTCTTTTCTCGTTCTAAGGCAGGCAAGAGAAAGAAGAAATAGGCTCACGTCTAACATTATAACCGCAAAATTCGATGAATATTCTATTCACACTTTAGTAAACGGGTAGAAAAAGAAAAGGTAAGAAGAAAAGTAAGGAAAAGAATATATATGTTTTTTATACAAAAAGAAATCTACTAGATTTAACTGTACAGATAATTATATGTCAATCAAAATAAGCATTATGAATCTTTATTCATATTGTTGAATATAATGTATACATATGTATGACGTTTCAATTCACCTGGACGAACATATATTTATATACTACCACATATAAATCCTTTTAATAGCTAATAGGCTCTCTTTTTCTTTTAGAATCTTTATTTATTTTCATTGCTTGCACGCCAAAGCGTGCAAGTCAAAACCATTTGTATTAAAACGTGCATCGATACAGAAACGATATTATTCACAATATACTCGGCAATATGTAAGTGTACACTTTTTTTATATACTCAAGGTCTTCGGTTTTTTTTCGAAAAATACGTAGTAGAGAAAAAAAGGAAATATTGTAATACATCAATCAGATATCTAAAATAATTTTACAAATGCTATTAATCAAACGTAAAAAATGTGTTAAGCAAGAGATAATAATCTTAAAAAGAAGATAAATTTTACTATAATAAACATGTCTTCATAATTAATGTTAGATGAAAAAACAAAACATATTTTTTTGTATACGTCAATGTAACTATGTTGCTCATTCTTTGTTTATACTGTATAACATATCTTTAATTATCATGGACGAAACAAGGCCTAAGACATACCTGTAGTATATTTTGAGTCTCAGGAATTATTAGACGAATACTAAGCAATACTAAATTTTCGAACGATTTTATTTTGATTAGATAAAATATATATATTTCTCAATTTTTACTCTGGTAAAAAGAGAATGAGTAATATATCTAAGTAAATATTGAATTAATTAGATAATATTTGAAGAAAAAACTTTTAACATGATTATAAATTATGTGATAGAATTATTCGTACGTCATCAAAAAAACAAAATGTCGATCTAATCTTGAAGTGCACATTTCTTATTTATAAACTAATTTCGCTGATGACACTGAACATAAATAAAGAATACAGAATTTTACTTTATGATGAGATCTCTATTTAAGTAAAAAAAATATAATAATAATTAAGACAAGTCCTACTGAGAAAAAAACGATTATAGAGTACAGTCAGTGAGTATCTAGATTAGTCAGACACTTTCATCTTTATATTTAAGCTAGTAGTGTAGTTTGTATGAGAAGGTAGAAAAATAATAAATAAATATAGGAGAATGGTTGAATAATTTTAGTTCACAATTATTTCTACCTTGAATATTGTATAATAGGCGACTTAATTAAAGCTTTTAAATTATAATATAAACATTTAACATTCATTTCCTTCTGTACAAACTAATTTAAATATCAATAGTATAGAATGGAATTAAATTAACTTTTTCCACTTGACAGATTTCCTAGTACGGACTACTTTGTATAAGTATCATATTGAGAAAGACAAAGTCAGGGATGTGCCGTAAAGAAAAAAGTGAAGGAGGAATGCAGAAAAAAACTTTTCCAGAACTGAAGAGATTTATATATAATTTTTTGCAAGTGAGGGGGAGAGTGCGCATCCCTAGACAAAGAGTATATATTCAATATCATGAAATGTCAAAACTATAGATCAAAAATTTCAGAGTTTAAAAAAAAAGATTTTCTATATATGAGTGTAATCAGTCATTTTAATTCTTCAATGTCTATTGGTATAGGTAGATTGAAGGAGATTATCTTACTAATGATTTATTATTGTTTGCAAAACATGTCTAAAATAGAATGATACCTGTCAAGTATTTTTTTGTTATAAAATCACTCTGTTAAATATATTTCGAATCTAATTTGTTAACTTACATCAATTTTCATCTAGCAATTTTATTGTGTATATATTGAATGCGAAGTTAGCTCTTAAACCATAACGAGATTTCGAGCTTTACTGTAATTTACTAATGGCTTCGATATATTCTATTGAAATGAATTACCAATTAGCAGTAGATTTGACTTTGATAAAATCATTAAAACTGAATATATTATGAATTTTGAGTGAATATTCCATTTAATAACTCTCATCTTTGATGAAATATAGAGTTTAAATAAGAACAGAACATTAATATTATATATGTATGATTACTAGTGAAAGATATCTGATTAAAGTGACACATAGGAGTAACTATTGCAGTATCAAAATGATTGATTACATTCATATGGATGAGATGACAGACAATGCTTACTATTAATAAAATTGATAGTATCATAACTCAAATATTAGTATTAACATCAAAGAATGAATAGAGTATATCTAAAGCTTTACAAAATCATCTTTTTCATTTCATTTATATAATTATGAATAAAAGTGACTCATGTAGAGTTAGTATTTTCATATTTAATTATAAATTCAATAATCATAGACATTAATATCCAATTGTTCAGCACATATATCGACTTCTTTTTTTAAATACAAGATCTGATATCTTTCTTTTAATATATTACGTTATACGTTCATCTTTCTCTTTGAACTTTTTAAAATGAGTTTTAAATTACATTTATACATAAAATCTTTTGTACTAGTCAACTTACATATTTTATATTACTTAATAAATTTTTATTTATAAAACTTGCCTTGAATGTTGATATCTATTTATAATCATTTACCTTTATGCAAGTAAAAGATTTCTTGTGCAGATAATTATGTAATAAAACCCTATCTTTTTTTACAGCTGCATACCTCTCTCTGAATTGAAATACTTCAAACTATACACTCATATTTTCATTCTGCTTTTGGATATTTATTTTTCACCTAGCAATTTGTGAATAATTCAATAGTGTCAATCGTAAAGATGTTTATCTAGGGCTTTTTTTGACGCGATAATATCTTGTGTCATTTATACTCTCTCAACTGTTCACGTTTTTATTACACATATGTTATAGACATAGGGGATAATCGTCAAACGGTCATTGTATACACATAAAGTGAAGATGTCTAGTATAACTCCTATTCAATAAGTTAAATCTTATTTTTAAGCAAAAAAATTTATTTGAAAACGAAAAATAATTTTATTTTACTTCTTCTTTTTAAAGGGCGGAAGCAACTACAGAAAAAACCTCGAAGAAAAAACATTCTTCATCGGCACATCATGATTCAGCTGAAGACGACAACGACGAAAAACAAGTGGAAAAGCCTTTGTTAGATTCAACACCAAAAACTGAAGTTAAACAACCAAAGAAAAAGGTAAAGCTATAAATAAAATTCTTTATTCAATTATTAATTGTCAATTAATAAACTGTCTGAAAATTGCTATGAGGTATAACAACGAAACAAATTTAATGAAGATTGACAGATTGATATGCAAAAAAGGGCAGTAAAATAATGATCGACAGCATGATCATCATACTGGAACACTTGTATCCCTATGTAAATATAATAAAAGAATACCATGAGTGATAACAAAGAAGAAGAAAAAAAGAAAATAGGGGTAGTGAGGTTGAGCAGTGTTATCTTTCATATAATTAAATTATTACCAAAATACAATAGATCATGAGAAGACTTTCATGTAAAACCCATAGGAATAAATATTGACAAGAATGACTACATATTCAATAGCACAACTAGTAACTATCCAGTAAAAAAGTCACCAATCTATCAAGTAATAAATATATATATATCAAGCTTCTGTTCTGTAAATATCCAACATATGTATCACATTCCTCTTGCTCTTTTGTCTTTCTCTCTCTCTCTCTATTGTTATGTATTAAACTCGCCATCTCTCACAGTCATCCATCTGAATAGTAAAGAACAAAGAAAGAAAAAAAATCCTACTTTTACGATACTATTTTACAGTATACAAAGGAAAGTAGTCAGTTTTCATTTTGTCGATGTAATTAGTTAAAAACAATATTCTAACATGTTTTTTTTGTCGCTTAGTAGTAACACTAACATATATGATGAGCAAATATAAATCAAATGAATTTTTATTTCCTTCGCATTCATATTTAGTTAAACAAAACAAGTCGTAAGTTTACTCTTTAAAATAAAAAAAGAAAGGCTCACAATGTTGATTCAAGAGAAAATTAGACACGTGATATACATTCGATGAGTTCGATTCGAAAGGGCGACGAGAACAGTAAAGATGTAATCTTAGCAAATAATACGAATATAATCTTTGTTTCTTTTTTTTCTATTGCTGTCTTTTGAAGGTCTTGTTTTAAATAAAATAGAAAAAAAGAGAGAGAGAGAGAGGAAAAAATCAGTTCAACAGTATTGATTAAAATTTTATTTTATTTTACGTTCTGTTTCTCTTTTTTCTCATGAGAAGAATTTCTTTTTCTTTTTTTTGCAAACAATAAATACAACTCTGTAACATGTATAATCTTATCATTTGGATTTCTTGAAAATTTAGATGCCATTCTTTAAGAAGAAGAAATCAGCAGCTGATGAAGCTGCTGGTGGTGGTGGTGATTCTTCAATGTTTGATATAACACTTGATCAATTGAAAGAACTTATGGAAGTACGTGGAAAAGATCTTAAGGAAAAACTTAAATCATCAGAATATAATGGTGTTAAAGGCATCTTAGAAAAATTAAAAGTCGACGGAAAAAAAGGACTTGACTCAAACAATGAAGAAGATTTTAAACAACGTGTTGGAGCTTATGGACGAAATGAAATTCCACCGAAACCAATGAAAACATTTATAAGATTATGTTACGAGGCACTTCATGATATGTTATTAATTATTTTATTAGTATGTGCTATTGTGTCAATTGGACTTTCATTTTATAAAGCACCTTCAAATGGAGCTGAAGATGATGAACGTAAGTATATTAGATTAATTTTTACTTTTTCATATATATATATCATCGAGTACACGAACGAAAAAATGACACTACTATGTTATCCTTAGTTACCAAAATAGAAATTTGTACTGAGAACAGAAAATGTTATTTAAAACAAATCGATGATTTCACCATTTTGCTCTTTTTCTTCCTTTCATTAGCATCACTCGTCAAGCATATTTTATTTACAAGTATATGCATGACACTTGTTAATTTTTTTGAAAGTCTTTTTGCTTTTTGAAATGCTTGACGTAAAACATCTGGAGAAATTTTTTTGAAAGAATACTCACAAAAATAAAGTCATCTATAGACGTCATCGAACGTTATTCATTAAAATAAATGTTTGCTTAAAATAGTAACAAAATAAAATCAATAAAATCTGTGTCATTAACTACCAAAGGACAAGAAAAAAAACTACTATTTACGTCAGAGATTATAATGAGGCCAGACTTTTGATATTAACTAATCTATATATCAAGATCTAATGATTATACTTAAGTAAAATGATACATTTACGTACAATCATAAATATTTGTTTTATAAAAAATATGACTTTTTTTAGCTAATCTTGAATGGATTGAAGGTGTAGCTATTCTTGTTGCTGTTCTTGTTGTTGTATTTGTAACGGCATTTAATGATTGGCGAAAAGAACGTCAATTTCGTGGTTTACAAAATAAAATTGAAAAAGATCAACAAACATCTGTTATACGAGATGGTCATATACAAGAAATTCCTGTAGCTGAACTTGTTGTCGGTGATCTTTGTTTTATTAAATATGGTAAAATTCATCAATATATAATTTAGATTTTTTTGTAAGAAAAAATATAATTTATGTTTAGGTGATCTTCTACCAGCTGATGGTTTGGTTGTTCAAGCAAGTGATCTTAAAATCGACGAATCTTCTATAACAGGTTTGTAGTTTTATTAGAATTTTTTTTGTTTAAAAATAAAATTTGTTCTCTTTTTTGAATAGGAGAAACAGATTTAGTAAAAAAAGGTTCAAAAGATGATGTAGGATTATTATCAGGTACAAATGTTATGGAAGGTAGTGGTCGAATGGTTGTTGTTGGTGTTGGTCTTAATTCTCAAGTTGGAAATATCATGAGTTTACTTGGTGCAACTGGAGGTGATTCAAAAAAGAAGAAGAAAGGGAAAGGAAAAGACAAAGACAAAGGCAAAGGCAAAGACAAAGACAAAAAGAAAGATGAAAAAGATGAAAAATCAAAAACTAAAAAACCGAAACCATTATCATCAACAAAAGTTTCACCTGATAAATCCACATCCGATGAAAAAGAAAGTAAACGTCAAACAACAACTGTAGAAACAATAGATGAAACAAAACCATCAACACCTAAACATCCACGTGTTCGTAAATTACCAGAATTTAAACAGTTAAGTACTGATGAACAAGAAATGAAACCAATTAAAAAGGAAAAGAATACTAAACAAACAAAAGAACCTGGTACAAGTGAAAGTAGTGATGATGAACAAGAAAAGAAACCGAAGAAAGTATCTAGTTCAAGTGAAAGCAGTGATAATGATGAAGATCAAAAGAAGAAATTAACAAAAACAAAAGTTAAGAAAGATGAAGAAACAAAAAAATCTAGTTCAAGTGAAAGTAGTGATAGTGAAGAAAAGAAGAAATCCAGTTCAAGTGAAAGTAATGATGATGAACAAGAAAAGAAAAAATCCAGTTCAGACGAAATTAATAAAGATAAATCAAAAAAATCTACTGATGCAACTGTTGAAAAACCAAAGAAATCTAGTTCAAATGAAAAACGTGATGAAGAACAAAAGAAGAAACCAACAAAAACTCAAAGTAATAATGAACAAGAAAAGAAGAAATCCAGTACAAGTGAAATTAATAAAGACAAAACGAAGAAATCGAATTCAAATGAAAGTATTACTGATGAACAAAAGAAGAAACCAATAAAAGATGAGAAACGTGATACACAAGAAAAGAAACAATCTAGTTCAGATGAAATTAACAAAACGAAATCGAAAAAAACTGAAAATGCAAATGATGAACAACAGAAGACATCGAGTACAAATGAAAGTAGTAGTGGTGAAGAACAAAAGAAGAAATCAACAAAAACTGAAACTACTATTAAACAAGACAAGAAAAAATCTAGTTCAAATGAAAGTATTAAAGATAAACCGGAGGAAAAATCCAGCTCAAGTGAAAGCAGTAGTGATGAAGATGAAGAAAAGAAATCAGGTAAAAAGGAAAATAATGATACAAAACAAAAGAAGAAAACAACAAAAACTGAAACTGTTGTCAAACAAGATAAGAAGAAATCCAGTTCAGGTGAAAGCAGTAGTGATGAAGAAGAAGAAGCAAAGAACTCCGATAATGACAAGAAATTAAAGAAAAAATCAACAAAAACTGAAACTATTGTTAAACAAGACAAGAAAAAATCTAGTTCGAATGATATTTCTAAAGATAAACAAGAGAAAAAATCCAGTTCAAGTGAAAGCAGCAGTGATGAAGAAGAAGAAAAAAAGAAAAAATTAACCAAAAGCAAAAGTACTGATAGTAAATTAGACAAGAAATCAAATAAAAATGAAAGTAGTGGTGATGAAAAACAAGACAAGAAATCGAAAAAGAAAAAACAAGAAGAAAGTGATGCTGATGATGATGAACGACCATCAACAACTTCATCTATTCAAACAAAAATTGCTAAGGATGATAAAAAGAAATCTGGAAAAGGAAAAGATGATAATGAAGATTCAGAACAGAAACCACCTGGATTAGCTGCATTAGCTGAAGACGCTGATGACGATGATGAAGGCGGTTCAAATGATGAAAAACATAAATGTAAGTAAAAATAAATAACAAAAGTATATATTCAAATAAAATTAAAAATATTTTAGCTGTTCTTCAAGAAAAATTAACAAAATTAGCTCTTTATATCGGTTATATTGGTATGGCTGCTGCTGTTCTAACATTAATTTGTTTAATTATTCGTTTCTGTATTTCAAATTATGTTGTGAAAGGCAACAAAGGATCAGGATCTGATGTTTCTTATTTTATTTCTTTTCTTATTCAAGCTATCACTGTCGTTGTTGTTTCAGTACCTGAAGGTTTGATCCATAAATTTAATAATTTCAGAATAATTATTTATTTGCTTTTTTCAAAAATATAGGTCTTCCTTTGGCTGTTACACTCGCTCTTGCCTATGCAGTTCGAGTTAGTAGAAATATTTTTATTATCAAATTGAATTATTATTATTTATTTTAATAGAAAATGATGACAGATAACAATCTTGTTCGACATTTAGATGCTTGTGAAACAATGGGTAATGCATCAACAATATGTTCCGATAAAACAGGAACATTAACAACAAATCGAATGACAGTTGTACAATGTTATTTTAACGGTAAGTCAGTATTTGATCTTAGGTTATTTCATACCGGTTCCATCGAACGATATTGTATTCATTAATATATATGTTCTCTGTTTTTTTTTAGGAAAACATTATGATAAATTACCAAAAAAAGATGAAATTGATAAAGAGATATTAGCAACTCTCTTCGAAGGAATTACTGTTAATTCAAATTATACATCAAAAATCGAGGTTTTTAATGATTATTTAAAAATAAATCTTTTCTTTATAAAAATTCTTTAGAAAGCAAAAGATGATGAAGGTTTACCAAAACAAGTTGGTAATAAAACTGAATGTGCATTACTTGATTTAATACAAAAATGGGATGGTTCATATGATGAAATTCGTAAGGAAATTCCAGAAGAAAAATTAGCGAAAGTATATACATTCAATTCTGCACGAAAAATGATGTCAACCGTTATTGAACGTGAGGGAGGTTATCGACTTTATACGAAAGGTGCATCAGAAATGGTTTTAGCAAAGTAAATTTCGTTTTTTGTTTTTGAATATGTATACATAATTTGTTTTTTTTTGAAGATGTAAATCAATTATTGATAAGGGTGATAAACCCAAAGAATTAAATGATCATGAGAAAAAGAAAATAACAAAACATGTTATAGAAAAAATGGCTAATGATGGTTTACGAACAATTTGTATTTGTTATAAAGATCTTGGTGAAGATAAACAAAATTGGGATGATGAAGATAAAATAATTAAAGATTTAATATGTATTGGTATTGTTGGAATTGAAGATCCTGTTCGTGATGAAGTATAATAATAATTTTTGCTTTTTTTGTTTTGTTTTAAGAAATATTTTCGTTTAGGTACCAGAAGCTATTGAAAAATGTCAAAAAGCTGGTGTTGTTGTTCGAATGGTAACAGGTGATAATATAACAACAGCTCGTTCGATTGCAACTAAATGTGGTATAATCAAACCGGATGATGATTTTCTTGTACTTGAAGGAAAAGAATTTAATAAACGTATTCGTGATTCGAATGGAAAGGTTAGAAAAAATAAAACAACTATTTGAATTTTTGTTTTTTTGTTTTATTTAGATTTCACAAAAGAAACTTGATGAAATTTGGCCAAAATTACGTGTTTTAGCACGTTCATCACCAACAGATAAATATAATTTAGTAAATGGTATTGTTGAAAGTAAAGTAACAGCACACCGAGAAGTTGTTGCTGTTACTGGTGATGGTACAAATGATGGACCTGCACTTAAACGTGCTGATGTTGGATTTGCTATGGTAAATAAAATACTTTTTTTTTGTATTCAACAATATATGTTTTTGTTTTAAAGGGTATTCAAGGAACAGATGTTGCTAAACAAGCATCAGATATTATTTTAACTGATGATAATTTTTCATCGATTGTTAAAGCAATGATGTGGGGAAGAAATGTTTATGATTGTATTGCAAAATTTCTTCAATTTCAACTTACTGCTAATTTATCAGCTGGTGTTTTATCAGTTATTTCTGCTGCAGCTATAAGTGTATGATTTCTTTTTATATTATGACTATTCAGTATTTTGTCCAGCGAGTGAGCGCCGCCCACCCGAAAAATATAGTAGCTGTATATTTTGAGGCGTTCCGGGCGGGCGCTAGATGAACGCTGCCCATCCGAAAAACGAAATCTATATAAAACACTGATTATTTCTTTTTCTAGAGTGTTCCATTACGAGCTGTTCAAATGCTTTGGGTTAATCTTGTTATGGATACATTAGCATCACTTGCACTTGCCACTGAACCACCAACAGAAGATTTATTAAATCGAAAACCTTATGGTCGTACGAAATCAATTATATCACCAATGATGATGCGTAATATTCTTGGGCAATCGATTTATCAACTTATTATTATGTTTGTTATACTTTATGCTGGACAATACTTTTTAGATGTTGAATCTACTGTTAATAAAATTCAATCAAGCCCACAATCTGGAAGAGAATTAAGTCAACAATTTACTTTGGTATTTAATGCATTTGTGCTAATGACTTTATTTAATGAAATTAATTCAAGAAAATTACATGGTGAAAGAAATGTATTTAAAGGAATATTTAGCAATCCATTTTTTTATTGTATTTGGACATTTTGTTTTGTTGCACAAGTAAGAAAAATGAATTGAAAATAGAAATTTATTTATTCATTCATCTTTTTTAGATTTTAATTGTTACTTTTGGTGATAAAGTTTTTAGTTGTGCACGATTAAGTATTATACATTGGGCATGGAGTTTACTTTTTGGTCTTGGATCACTTGCATGGCAACAGGTATTATATTTGATTGTTTATAAAATTATATATTATGTTTAAATAATTTAGGTTCTTCTATTTATTCCAATTGAACCATTTAGTAAATGTTTTTCAGCTGTGTATCGTGTTTGTTGTCCTTGTTTATATAAAAAACAATTTAAAGAACAAGATGAAGACAAAGGTGAAGACAAAGGCGAACGACCAAAGTCTGCTGATCAAAAGAAACCATCGAAAAAAAGTGATTCCGATGAAGAAAGTGATACTGAGCATAATCCACCAGCACCTGGAAAATATGCTACAATTGGTCATTTAACAAATGCAACAGTTGTTATGAAACCACCACCAATATTTGCAAGATATATGCTTCGAAAAAGTGTCGATCGACTTAATACTGAGGTTTATATCTTCCTTGCAAATTATTTATTTTCTAAAACATTTTTCTTTTTATAGTTTCAAGTTATTAATGCATTTCGATCAAGACTGGAAGCAGTTAAAAATAAACGAAATGAAGAAACTGTTGAACAGAAACGTAGTAGTATAGCTAATATCATCGATGAAGAAGTGTGAAACAATATGGTGCAACAAATTGTTTTTATTTGAATTTTTCTTATTAGTTTTGTGTTCTTTAAATTATATTGAAAATATGCTTTATGCTTAAATTATTAACAAAAACGAAAAAAAAACTACTTTTTTTTCTCTCTCTTCCTTGTCTTTTCTGTTTTCTTTTTGTGTTCTTCCAATGTGTGCTTATGTTGTTATCCTTCAATTGATCAATTTTGTCTGTAAATATATATCTGTGTATAGGTGACATTTACACTGACAAGCATGTTCGTTTTGTTCGTCATCTATATATATGACCTTGCTATTAAAATATTGTTGACAAGTTCCTTTTACTTCGGAAGCAATTTGAGAAAAACCTTTTGAACATTTCAAAAGTAATTTGAGAAAAAAAGGTGATATTCTCTCTAGTATATTTCTTATGTTCTTTAAATAGGTTTTCATTTGAAATAAATTATAGTAAAAATACAAAATAAGACATTGATCTACAAAAGTTATTAACTTAATTGAACATCAAATTAATGCATTTTATAATGTACTAAGTGTAAGAAAGAAAACAAGTCTTACATCTTCATCCGTTTTTATCTATTACAAGAAAATTAGAGTATATCCAAACTAACCTTACCTTTAGAAAGTATAGTGTTTAATAAAAGCAACGATGAGACTTCTGATGCATATATATAAGGGCGTGTCGTCCCCGCCGCCCCTCCTTTTGAAATTTACTCGTGTTACGTCCCTCATGGTTTTGGAGTTTACATTAAAATATATGATCTACGCCCCTCTGCTTTCGGCACCTTGCTACGCCTTTTTATATATACCAAAGACAATTATTTTCTTGCATTAATGATATCAATAATTGAAAATATCATCAAATTGTTTTTATTAATTCAACTTATTTACCATTGTATTGCTAATTTTTTTTACAAAATATTCCATCACATAAGGATTTTGTTTTAATATTTGTTAATAATGAACAATGTAATATTGGCTAGTATTAATAAGCCTCAAAAAGCTTAATATCCATGCTGATAATAACTATCTTCGAGATATATATGCTTGGAAAAAAGATACATTAAATCGAAAATTTAAAGATCCATATCACGAATTAGATTTATAGCTTAATCCCTTTGGGACGGGAAGCACATGTGTGTGCTTCGATTCTGACTTAATCAGTGTGTGACAGAACTAAATTTATAAAAACACTTTAATGGTAGAATTGATAGTGTAGACTATATTTATACGCTTTCAACACATCGTAGTGTAACTATTTTTATTGTGTCGTCATTCACCTTCTTTCGTTCTATAGCTAAATATGATATTTCTATTACATCACTATCAACAAGAAAAATTCCTCGAAAACAATACGTGGTCAGTGCAAATACAACAACCACAGCAAGAAAGATAACTGTTTCCAGATACGAATGTAGTGAATATAACGTTAGGCTGATTAATATATTTTCGAATAAATACATCATTCAGTTTCTTTTGCTACAGTCACATCCATTTCTAAGGGGTTAATGAAGAATATGGAATAAAAACTTCATATCAAATGAGTAAAAATAGGAATTGAAGATGCTATTTTAATACGTGACCATTGTTTATTAGATCCAATTCAATAGAACTTATCAAAATAAACAGCTATACCAAACGTTAATGATCGACAACAGCAAAACATCATATTCCATCAGTTCATTAATCTATTGCAAATGATGAACTTCGTCATTTTTCTATTCATATCTTATCAATAAAATCAGCTTATTCCTGCTGTAAATGATAAACAATCACTTAACATTCTTCTTCAACATATTCCAATCATTAAGAAATAACTAAAAATAATTAATATGACTGCCCAAAAATAAAATAAAATTGTTTTTGTTGATAATCTTTGTTTTTTAAAATAGATATACTCGTTTTAGGATAACTTATCATCGAATCTATTCTTGTATCTCAATATGTTCGTCGAATATAAACGTGTACATACAATTCTCTTTTTCTTTTTCTTTCTTCATAACAACAACTCAAGCTAGATAATTTTGCTATTGTGTACTAATGTATATATCCTACTTTAAGTTAGACAATATCATCATGGATATAACGTTATCCAAGGTTATCGAACGCAAAAGAGCAACCGGCGATATATAACCAAGGTTTTTTTAGTTTGATTTTCTGTCCAATACAATAATGACAATGGCTATAATTTTTTTAATCGTACAATAAATCAAATACTATGAATATATTTATTTAAGGAAAAAAAAAGAAAAGAAAATAACGTTTTAAACTTAAATCAATAGGAATAAAAGAAAATTTTCTAATTGTATCTACAATAATCTAATTCATATCTTCTTTTTTTCTTCTTCTTCTTTCTCTTTTCCTTCTTTGATTATTTCTGCCGCGTCGTTGAATATGATTACCACCAACGCTAGTACCATTACTGCATACGGAGAAAAAATATATAGTACATGTCGAAACAAGACACGATTGGATAACTTATAGACAGAAATAACTTCTTTTTTTCTTCTTTTTCTTTCTTTGCCTTGCTTGATACCAACATCATCGGAATAGCCAAACGGATTGATATCTCTTCTACATATTTTTTTTCTTCTTTTCCGTTGCTGCTACTATAACTTACTACGTCGATCGTCGTTCTTTTTTGCAT